TTCGACTACTCGTGATTGCCTGGTTGACGACTTATTTCGTTAAGAGAATTTACTTTATTTGCTTTGTTTTTTTTCTTTTGTTCTTCTGTTCACAGTAAACATCGTCTGCGATTAAACAAACACAGCCTCGTTAATTGAAGGGTTCAGGGAGTAAGTATTAAAAATATATAGCATTTCGTTTTTTTTCTTTCTTTCGAGATATAGTGTACGTATAAAAGTGTATCCCTAGAAATTGTATTTGAGGGACCAACGGTAGCGCTGACCAACGAACTCAAACATACGTCGTTTACAGAATCTGCACGTAAAGTCTCGGAACATGGAAGCATAATCTCAGAATATACGATCACAACAGCGTACAGTTCACGCGTAAGAAGGTACAGCTTTCAATTATAAAATACTTTCAGTGATCAACGCTATCGCGACAACTTAGAAGAAAAAGGATAAAGGGAAAACGTTCGCGGAACCTTCGTCGTACTAATTAGCATAATCCTCTTCCCCCCCTCTAAATTACAAACGCGACTTACATCGTATCAATGATTTGCGTACGAGAAATTCAAGATTTACAATCATAGCGAAAATTAGTTCACACGTCTCCGGTAGAAGGAATATTCGATAAAGACAAATTTACTGTTCCAGTACACAGTCTGAGAAGGAAAGGTGCACACCCTTTCCACGCAGAGAATTATATACGAGCCCACGTGAAGCCGTGATGAAAGAATTTCTGTAGAAAAATAGTAGAAAGGCTTAACAAATTTTCGTCGGTTAGCAGAAACATATCTGTGGATCGTCTACTTGTGTCAACGTGTTTCTTAATCGCTATCGTCATTTCCCTAGTAGAATGTAAATTTCGTTTCCCGTACCCTTCAATTAGGGCTCTTTTTTTTCTACTATGGCATGCGATACACTAGGAGGGACCTAAAATTTGTATTGGGTCCCCCCTGGCCCGTCTCATTCGGCCGGCGTACTCGCCGCCCACCTATCGAATTCGATACCTGAATCTGGACTGAGGCCCAAATCGATCGGGCTGAGAAAACTGGGCGCTGGACAGTTGCACGGACCACCTGGTCTACATGCACCGATGCACCTCTGATCGTTCCCCCTGTTCCTGTCGCCCCTGTCCCTCAGCTCCTTCTCGAAACTGTGCAGTTGCTCCATGAAATGGAAATTCGGGGCAACGTTGGACTTTCGACTACGAACTAAGTTAAAAGCGTCGTTCAAACTGAGGCTACACTTGTGCATTAGGTAGGCTACAGTGATTGTAACGGACCGCGACACTCCAGCTAAACAGTGAACTAGCACTCCTTTGTCTGAACTTCGTGCTTCCTCTGGAAGTAATTCAATGAAGCTTTTATACAGCGAACATACCAGGGAACAAAGATGTTGATGTATGAAACATTGGGTTGATGCAAAAATTTCGACGTTCTTTTTAGAAGAAATAAACAGAAGAGTTCTCAACTGTTGGCTAAAGTAAACCTAAGTGAAAGTGAAGGAACCATGTATAAAAAACGTGAAAATTTTTGCATGAATTATTTAGACCCTGATCACTGAGTGTACGAATTTTGAAGTTATTCACACTCACCAATAAACTGAATTGCTTGCGGAAAAAAACTAGCTAAGTTCTGGCTCCAATGATCACTTATGGGTATTTGCATGTATTTTATCGAACCAGCGCTTTCAAATACATTTGGCAAATCTGGGGTTACGTTAAGAATGTACTGTATCCTGTGACGTGCTAATGCTTCCCTGTCTTCGCTATTGGCTGCATTTCCAAGATACAAATGAGGCAAAATTTCGACTGGAAAGTCTTTGTCCTCCTCGGGTCCTGGAGATAGTATCAACATAGATTAGTCATGATTTTCTGTATATTCCATGCAGAAGAAATTATTTTTTTAATGTACTAACCAACAGAATCACAAGTGCTATCACTATCAGAATCTGAGTAGGACCTTGTTGGGGGAGTAGATATTCGAAGGGATCTAAGACCCATTAATTCACCTTCATTAGAGTCTTGACCAGGAGGGCATTCCCCTCCAACTTGACTAACTTCACACCATTCAGGATATTTATCTCTGAATGCACTAAAACCACCTGTGAAAAGAAGAAAATAAATGTATTTCTTGATAGAAATCAGCCACAGTTTCGGAAAGCTTGGCAATCTATAGCAGGGATATAAGTGGCTCATTAAATAGGTATGTATACTCTTTGCACAAATCAATATTTCATTCACAACTGTTCTTAACATCTCAATTCATGGATATGAAAGACTTTACTATAAACATTGTTTTATTCTTGACTCTTATAATCCTTAATAACTTTCTTTCCATTAAAAGATAATATGTAAACACAAAATACAATAGTCTGCTAGTTATTTATGACAGAAATGTTTTGTGACACAAGGAAAAAGCTGTGGGACGTATCTTGTTATATTCTTACCAATTAAAATAGCTACGCATCCTCCACTACTTCTAAGTCTTCGGCTCAAGACTTGAATTGTTTCACCCTGATGTCCTGCAGGGTCTGTAGAGTCACCGATTAACACGAATGTTCCTCTATTGTTTTCATCTCCACACAAAAACACTTCAACCCTATTTCTTAGATCTAAACACCTTATGGTTGACAACAAATCAACTTTACCTGCTGCCAGCCGTCTCAGCATGATACTAGGTATAGCTAAAGGAACCGAACCTCTTATATGAGTTTCAGAGAAATCAGAATGTGCCCTGCAGTCGAGGATGAGTAGCTTGCCATGGCCTTCTTGAGATCTCAGCTCTCTGAAAAGCCACTCCGGGCCCACAAGATCCTCCTCCATAACATTTCCACCTGGCATGTTGTGGCGAGCTTTAATCCGAATTCCTGATGCTTCTTTGGTCTTTAATTCATTTAAAACGCACCCACCCCTCTTCGTTTACAGAGGTGATCCTCTCATCCAAGGGATCTCCCTATCTCCCATTATACTCCAAAAGCTGCGCACTTTGGGCTTCACAATGTTCTTCGAAAGATCTCCATCTTCCTATGGCACTTCCTAACATGTTACCACCGGCTCCCACAAGATGATCAAAGTATCCGTTCATGATCCCTCGTGGGGCATAAATGAGCAGACATTGCTGGCCAGGAGCACACGTGCATCTGGTGATTGCATCGAATACAATAAAAATGGCACTTGAGTCGTATGACAGAAAACATATATCTGAGAGGTGCTTGGACAGACACGTCCACGTTCCTCGGCGTCGTTCTCACGTGTTGGCCATTACTTCCTGCGGCACTTGAACGCCGTCTTTACTCCACCATCTCCTCCTCCTCCTCCTTCACCTTCTCCTTCTCCGCGGGTAGCAGCAGCTCGTCTCGATTATTGATCCTTTCGTAAATAAAGACGACAGGCCCAATTAACGCCGGAGCCGCGGATTGTGTCAGCTCGTTTGGGAAACGCATGATCCACGCTGCTGAACCTCGTCGGATTTATCTCGAGCGGGGCTCCCGGGATTCGCGGGAACCACGTATCTCTCCAATTCTCGGGATCGGTGGCATTGTAATCTCCTAGGGTGACGGATCGACTCCGAATACTTTTCAGCGTCCACCCAGAGCGACGGGAAAGCGGACCACGAGTCCCTCGGTCCTCCTCGACCTCCTCCCGAGAAAGGGATGCTGCACCGTTCACAGGCTGGACCGACTCGAATCGGTCGAAGCGAACAAGGTACTCGTCGGTCCGAGAGCAGACCGTCGCCCTCACCTCACGAATCCCTCCAGCATCGCTCGACGCGTCTTCCCTCGGTTC